CCCAGGTCACCTGGGATAAGCATTGCCTTGGTAACCACAAATGACTTCCTTGAAGTACTCAAGCCTTGGTGAAACCTCAGTGGCACCTGTGCCTGATGAGTGTGACACTCATGATGGGAACACCCCCCCCCCACAGACCCCCTAGGACACTTTGGCCACCAGCACAGGCTTGTCACAGATCCACCAGCTGCTCTGGGAGCTGGATTTCTTGGGCATGAAACAGAAACTGGCATGTTCTTTTTGGAAGTAAAGACCAAGCATGTGTACCGGGGGAGATAGCCATGTACTCTTTCCTGTCCTGGAGATAACTGTTTGTAAAACAGAGCTCACCATGCCACCCTAGTGGGATTTGGGCAGCCACAGAGTTCCTGTGGATATAAGCTCACTCATCATCTAGGGATAGCTCCGGGCAAAGGGAATTTCTCTGATGTAGTTGACAGCTGTGTGTGGGAAGGCAGAGCAAAAAGTCAAGGCTCTCTGAGGGTGGGGACCTCCCCTGTCTGTAGACCAAGCAACTGCTGGAACAGTTCAAGTCCAGAGTCCAGATATCCCTCCAGGATGTGCTGACAGAAGCAGGCAAAAAGCTCGGTCACCAAGCTGAGATTCTTGGTCAAACTTGTGGTCTTTTCAACCCTCTTCCTCTCAGGCCACTTGCCTCACAGTTCTGAGGGGTGACACCAGGTGGCAAGGTTGAAGGATACAGATGAAGATGAAGTGGGGGACACAGAAAAAGGGACAGGAGTACCACAGCTAACAGCCTACCACACTCACTGCCATTCCCTGGCCCTCATTCCGTTTTCCCTGCATGGATGGCTCATGGCCTCAGAAGGCTGGCCTGGTATGACTATAGGCCCATGTTGGAGTCTATGGACACTTGTGTGTTTGCCAAGCCACTCTACTGTTTCCCAGGGAGATCTTCTGTTCTAAAGTGAGAGGATCAAAAAAACATTGCATGGGATACCTAAGTCCATCGATCCCTCCTGTGTAAAACCATGCAAGTTCTGGGAAGGACAAAGATATCCAGACTGGCTACAGCAGGAAGGGCATCTGTGATGGTGGCCATCAGGACCCTGTTTCTCACCTCTGGGGTCAGGGTATCACAACTATACAACCACAGGTAGTCAGCCATTACCCAGAGAGTGCCCCCCCCCCGGCTTTGTGCTCTTGCTCAGCTTGTACATGAACTCCACAATTAAACTTGACCCTGGCTGAGGAAACAGATGGGCTATGTCGGTCTGTGCAGTAGCAACAGGCAGAAACGCTCCTGGCCACAAGAGCCCAGAGGAACACTAAGCTTGCAGCCCCATTGTACTCTGGGCCTGGGCCATCTACCAGAGGGAGAAAGGAGATGCAGATTGGAGGGGTGTCTGTCAGGGAGGCACCTGGGCTTTACAAATAGATGCATCTGTCCTGAGGAGTCAGAGCTGTCATCTTTTGCCTCATTTCACAGGGTGGCATGGTTTGACCGTAGTCCTATGAGTTACGATCTCAGCTTCAGCTGATTTCTCCCAAGCCTGCACCTTGGGGCATTTGCCTCTATTCTAACCCAGGATATGGCCATAAGCTACTTAAGCTGTTTCTCAGGGTGGTTGGCTAGGAGAGAGAATAACCAAGTTCAGCTAAGTGGTTGACCCATTCCTTTCAAGAGAGAGGGCTGGTAGACAGTGATCAGATACCTAGACTGATCTGGAAGTTCCAGAGAGGAGGTGACTGGGGAACCTGATCAGGGCAGAAGTGAGTGGGCAGGGAGTCTAAGACAGAACCCACATGTCTGCCTCCTTGCATACTACAAAGGGACCTGGGCAGGAAGCCAGAGGTCAAGGGGGCCTGATATGAACACTGGTTTTATGGTGGGCCTCCACTTAGCCAGCTGGGTAATGGCACGATCCCAAGTTAGGTTGCTACCTCTAATTAAAAAGCCATTTAAGATGAAAAAGTGTTAGTGTTTGATATGGAACCATATTCCCCTGGGGGAGGACAATTCTACTTTTTAAGCTGATAGAGTGTGAAGGGGGACAGGTAACTGCTATAGGAGCTACTGCTTGGATCTCCAGTGGGGAGGGTCACCACTCAAGGGAGCACTGTTCAAGGCACTTGAATATTGCTTTTCAAGATGAAAGATGAACCCCTTGGACTCAAACTGGGGAATGGGGGAGGGCCTGACAAGGAGGGAGAACTAATGTCCCACCTCCACAGGTTTCCGTGTCATCTACTGGCAGCTCTTAGAAACATTACAGACAATGCTAAGCTAAACCCCAAACACCATAAGGTTGGGATCTCAATCATTAAAAATAATAATAAATAAGAAAGAAAATACAAACACAGAACGGCAAGCAAAAATCTAATCAACTGATTGTATCGAGCACCCAGATGAAAGTCTGGCACAAGAGACGGGATGGAAATCAACAAGAACCAAGTTCAAAAAAGAACAGAACGGAAAGGACTAACTTGCTTGGAAGAGCCAAAGGCTGTTTTAGACTGCTACCATGTGGCCATCAGGATGGACAAAAATCTCAACTTTTCCATTTCCTCAGATGTAACACTGGCTACTAACAGTCATGCCTTTAAAACTGACATACTACCCTCCGCCGTACTGTTAACTTTCTGCTTCTCATTCTGGTGAAAATTTGGTACTTAGAGATCTGTCACCCAAGGTAACAGAGCTCCCTGGAAGGTGACTCTGTGGAGAGGGCACCATGGTCCCACCAGTGACTCTGCTCCTTCATGCTCCTAATGGGTCCTCCTCTGTGTGAATGTGCTCTTCCTTTACTCAATGTCCCTGTACCAAGCTGGATATAAATCTGTTCCCTTCTCTGCTCCTCCACTGAGAATTCTCTTCTCACTAAACCAGATCTCAAGCGCAGAAGTGATGCAACATCCAAAGACAGAACAAGGGGCCTGCCTTCCAGCCTCCTAGAGCCTCCTGGAAACTTCTCATTCATGAAAAGGCATTACCTTTAGTGTCATGACTCTTAAAAATTTGTAAAATCTAAGGGCTTATGGTTACAGGTTGAGAGACTGTAAATGAAAAGACGTAAGTTCCAGAAACATCATGCAAGAAATGTGGTTTCACATCTTACAAAGTCCTACGAGTTAAGTACTAACAAGCACACTGAGGTGTAATAGCCGGAGCATACCTTTAAAATTAGAACTCCCTCCCACCCTCCCCAAATAAAAAAAAGTAATATTAATTAAACTTAAGAAATAATGAATGCACCATTAAAATGTCATCCAAAGATGTTGACCTAAGACAAAAGTTTCAATGATACACAATACGGTCAAAAAGTTTTCATTCAGTAATATACAGTTTGACAGCTACATCTTGTAAATTATACCCAATACTGCCGGCAGTCTATCCCTCTAAAGAATATTTGCCCCTTTCATCCCTTCCTAACAATCAGATAATAAAATACAGCACCTATAAATAAGCAAAAAAAAATATATATATATACCGAAATCATCTATTGTTAGTTTAAAGATATGGCAATAAAGGAGTCTAAATTAGCAAAACTTGTAGAAGCCATAACTGATAAACCAGCTTATTGAAAAAGGTGGCAGTAATGCACTCTATGTGTGCACAGGTACTTAAGAAAATACACAGACGTACAAAATTGCACACGTGCACACACACACACACACACACACTCACTTTCATCCACCTCTATACTCACGCATATACACATAGACAACGGGAGGAATCAAGAGACAAGTTAGACTTCTGATTTGTACTTAAACTGTCCTAAACTGCATTAAAAAAAAAAAAAAAACTTTGTGAGAGGAGAAATGAACGAAGGGCCAACGGTCTGGTCTGGAATTGAAGAGCGTCAACGTTTTGGTGTGAGTTTGGGCCTTCTCTACAGGGGTGGGAGCAGAACCCAGACTGCAGCAATCCTCTCTTCTGCAGGGAAAGAAGCTTCCCACGAATTCGACAGGGTTATCATCAGTGCTTGTGGTGGGAAGAGGGGGAGGGAAAGAGAGCACGCGCGCGCGCGAGAGAGAGAGAGAGAGAGAGAGAGAGAGAGAGAGAGAGAGAGAGAGAGAGAGAAAGAGAGAGATGCTTGCGCCAGCCCTGCCCAAGTCCAGGGAGCGTCTTGCCCTGAGGGGCTCAGTCCATCAGGCGCCCAAGAGTGGTGTGAGGTGAGGTGCCTTCTGTGCCAAGGAAAGAGGAGCAGACGGTTGCCTGCACATGGAGGGACTAACTGCAGCCACCTTGCGGGCCTATGGTTTCCTTCCTTTCGACGCTTGCACATGCGCAGATGCGCCAACACAGACGTAGACACCATAAATTAAACAAAGGAACGGGTACAAGCTACAGTTCTAACTTGTCTCCTAAACCTCCGAAGATATGAGGTCTGATCAGCGTGCTCTGCGGTTAGAGGTTAAAAAGCAGATTATAAAATACCTAGATTCGGATCTTTTCTTTTTGTCCTGATTTGGCCTAGAATGGAGTGTATTAAACAAACTCTGGTCAGCAAAAGCCCAGAGTCAGTTAAAGCTATGGATCAATGTGCACTACATGTCAGGATTCTATTTACGTACAAGAAAACACTACATCAGCTACCACAAAATCAGATATTTTTCCTGATGTGACTTTTTTTTGTTAAAAAATATGTGGAGTAAATGTGTTTTATTTTAATTCAAAGTTTCAAACGAGAAGATTCTTTTCTTGAAAATATTTAGGAATCCAAACTAGTGTGTTTAGAGTCGGTTTGACTGTGCAATCTCTTAGTGGCAACTGAACAGCTACAAAAAACTTTCTTTTTTAATTTTTCTGAAAAATCCCCCCCCCTTTCCTGGTTTAAGAAGATAATAGTGTATTATCGCTCTGAAGCCATTAGATGGCAGATAAAAAAGCCCCCTTTTAATATGTGGGTTTGATTTTTTTTTTTTAAAGCCCACACGAAAGAGGAGGGCACAAGGCAAAAGCTGTAAAGAGTTATTCCAGAACCTGTGGAAATCACTTAGGGCAATAAAAAAAACACTTCAGGGTACAAAAAAGCTTGACTACACATTTCCGTTTTCTTCCTTGAAAACACGACATAGATTGGGCTTAATGCTCCTTTGTTTTCTATATGCACCTTGGCCTATGGCGATTTTGCCCTGTGGCCCGCAGGGCGGTAAGTGCGCAACACGTCCAGGCCTGGGTAGGCGACGCCCTCCACGCACCTGCCCTCCACGCACCTGCCCGCCCGGCCCACTAGAGTGCTGACGGGCCGGCCAGGTCAGATGGCCTGATAGGCCCGCCAGGCCGCACTAGGCCCGCCAGGTCCGAGTAGGCCCAGTAGGCCCGGTGAAGCCCGCCGAGCTCGACGGTCAGGCCCAGAGGCCGGCGCCCTCAGAACTCCCATTCGATGGGCTCCTCCCGGCTAGCAGCCTTCTCCAGGCGGTGGATGATGCTGTTCAAGTTCGCGGCCTTCTTCTTCCGCACCGGGTTGTCTCGTGAGTCCCGGGCGCCCGCCGCCTCCGGTAGGCCAAAGAGGCTCTGCAGCGAGCTGGGCCTGCGCGCAGGCGCGTGGGCGGGCGCGCTGGTACTTGGCAACGCGGAACTCCTCTCCGCAGCGCCAGCCTGGGCGGCGCCATGGCCCTCGGCTGCAGCGGCTGAGGTAGTGGCGTCCTCCCCGGCCGCAGGGGCTGCGGGGTTTGGCACGGGCACCCGGCCTTCGGCGGGGCCTTCGGGTGGCGGTGGCGGCCGAGGCCGGCCGGAGTCCTCAGCGTCGTCCGGGCCCGGGGTCCCCGAGGGCAGTGGCTGTGCCTTCGCCTTGTCGGCAGGGCGCGCTGCCTCCACGCGCTCGGCAGGGGCTGCGGCCACCTCTGCCGGCCCTCCCTGAGACTTGGTGGCCGCCGTGGGGCCACATGGCTCCTCTGCGTCGGCGGCCTCCACGCCGTCACAGCTGTCGCCTTCTGAGCTGGGCGCAGCGCGGCCACTTCGGGCTGAAGGTGAGTCGCTGGCGCCGGTCTGGCCCTGACTCCCGGCTTGAATCTCCTCAATGAACAGTTCTCTGCGGATCCGAGACCTGGGCGACACAAGCAAGAACACGTGAGGTGGCTGTGCACGGCCCAGCCTAACCTCTCCCCACAGCACCCCGCTTGGAGTCAGCTGCCCTGCCTGCACATACCAGTCCAGGAGGCCCCCATTGCCCTAGGGCCACCCCTGTGCTGGGATGCCACTGCCTTCTCTCCTCACATACTTTATATATTTATTTTTTTGAGACAAGCTCATTTGTCCCAAACTGGCTTCGAACTTGTTAAGTAGCCAGGAGTGAACAACAGCCTTGAACTTGTCACAGCCTGGCCTTGAGCTCAGCCTGGCCTTGAGAGGTAGGATACCAGGTGTGTACCATTGATTACTGACTGACCCGTTTCCTCCATCTACATCCTGAGCAGAGGATGGTTCTTGGCATTTGATAACATACTGCTAGCTAAATAAATGAAACTTAACAAAATCATTCAGGACTTTACTGGAAAGCCAATTACTGGATATGGTCCAAAGAGGGAACCTTGTCCTCCAGCTTTGATCAAGCAGGAAGGAGACTAAATATCAAGTTTTGGATCCAACCTCCTGTGGAAAATGTGCTCAGGTACTTTGCTGAGTCACAAGGTGTGGTCCTTTTAGAATGGGATGGGCCACAGACAGGTCTTAAGTTCTCATCTCTCACAGGCCTAGGCCCAATCAGCCATCTTTAAGCCTTCATCATAATAGGCAAATGTCTACTGTTGGAAAAGCATCATTGGTTGAATTAGTACCAAGCTCAATGTGCTGCAGAAAGTGGGAATGCATAAAACCTTAGAACTGGGCATGGGTGAAACTGCTTTCTGTAGTCTGTGTTAGTAGTTAGTGAAGGAATACTTCCCCTGCACCCCAATTCTGGGGGCTGAACTAAGGGCTTTAAGCAGGCCAAGCAAACGTCTGTCAGCTGAGTCACCCCTAGCCCCTCACTGAGGCATATTAGGCAGGTGCTCTACCACTGAGCCACACCCCAGCCCCTCACTGGGGGATTCTAGTCAGGTGTTCTACCACTGAGCCACACCCCAGCCCCTCACTGAGGGATTCTAGACAGGTGCTCTACCACTGAGCCACACCCCAGCCCCTCACTGGGGGATCCTAGGCAGGTACTCTACCTCTGAGTCATACCCCCAGCCCCTCACTGGTAGGTTCTAGGCAAGAGCTATGTGGCTATAACACCCCCCCCTCCAACACTTTTTGAACTTTTTATTTTAAGACAGGGTCTTAAATTTTAGTTTTTCGGCTTAGTTTTTCAGGCTGACCGTGAACTTACTCTGTAGCCCAGGCTGGCCTTAAACTTTCTATCCTCTTGCTTCAGCTTCCTGAATAGCTAGTATTATATTATAGGCCTGTGCCACAAGGCCTCGCTAAGGGGAGGCTTTAGAGAGCCTGCTGCAGATCAGGTCTTGGGCTTGCTTCAGGGAATGTGGAGCCAGAAGATGGGTGTGGCTTGGCTTGAGCACTGAAAACCCTGGGTTGTTGTTCACCTATTCTGTAGTTACTTGCTTCTGCCACAGAATGAAACCAGAACCTTGTCCTAAAGATTTGCTATTGTTTTGGTATTTTGGAGACAGTCTCCCTGTAGCCCCAGCTAGTGTGGAACTTGCTATATAGATCAGGCTGGCCTTGAACTTATAGATCCACCTGAGTGCTGGGATTAAAGGCATGTGCCACCACTCCCTGGCATTGTCCTGAAGATTAAAAAAATTTTTTTGAATTTATGTATATGAGTTTTACCTGTATAAGTGCACCCATGACATGCAATGCCCATAGAGGCCAAAAGCGGGCAACAGAATCCATGGAACTGGAGTTACAGATGGTTGTTTGGTGCCATGGGGGTGCTGAGAACCAAACCCAGGTCATGCAAGAGCAGCCAGTGCTCTTAACAGCTGAGCCATCTCTCCAGCCGTCTCCTGAAGATTTTTAAGCCGTGATTCAGAAAGATGGGGTTCTGATAGGTCTCTGGAAGTATCCAAGCACAACAGCTTTTCTAGGGTGACCTCAGGAGCTTAGGAAGCAAAGGACCAGTCCTGGGTGCTGTGCTGGGAAGATGGCTCTGCTCATGACCTGTTTCCAAGCCCTGTGGTAGCAAGGATGCTGGTGGGGTGAGCACCCAGTTCAGCTCTGCCCAGCCAGGAGATGGCAGGCTAGGTGGGCAGCTAAGGTTGGGTGCTTGCTAGTCAGGCCACCAGCACTGTCCATGCATTTAGGCTGCAGGTAAGCTGGGTTTGAAATCTAACTCTGCCACTCACTAGCTGTGCAACTTGGATAAAGGTGAATTTTTAGTTTGTTTTCCTTCTCCTTTTTTGAGACAGGATCTCACTGTGTGAGACCTTGAAATCTCAATCCTCCTGCCCTAGCCTCTCAAGTGGAACCTCCCAGGTGTGCACCACTGATGGCTCTTCTGTGAAGTGAGAGAAGCCCTGCTCTGAGCAGTAAGGTAGAGGGAATGGGCTGGGGGTGGTAAAAGTGTAGCATAGGGTTTGGCCTTCTCAGCTGATGTGTGGGACCCCTCTCTGTAAAATGGAGCCAGTGATACTGAGCTTGAGTGCTGGTTGGAGGATATTTAATTTATTTTTGGATACAGGGTTTCATCCTGTAGCCCAGGCTAGGCTCAAACTTGCCTCCTCCTGCCCCTGCCTCCCTAGTATTGGAATTAGGGACATGCAATACCATGCCTGGCCTATCTTTACTTTTTTTTTTTTTTTTTTTTTTTTTTGAGACAGGGTCTCCCTGTAGCCCCAGCTGTCCTGGAACTCACTATGTAGACCAGGCTGGCCTTGAACTCACAGAAATCTGGTTGCCTCTGCCTCCCGAGTGCTGGGATTAAAGGCGTGCGCCCCCACGCCCGGCTCTTATTACATTTTAATATAACTAATGGACTTACTTGAGTGTGTAGGGGACAGAGCAACGGGGCCTTGTGCTCAGTCAGCTCTAGCCCTGAGCTACACTACAGCCCTGGATCTGATATCTAGAAAAGTGCACAAGGCTCAAAGGATGCCACAGCTTTTGGGACTTGGCCAAACATGCTCTAAATCTTATTCTCTGAGGGTCCCAGGAGGGTAGAGAAGATAAAACCAACTTTTCCTTCTGTAAAAAGAGAGTGAAAAGGTGCTTTCTCTTAGGCTGGGTGTGGTGGTGCACGCCTTTAATCTCAGCACTGGGTAGGCAGAGGCAGATCTCTATGAGTTTGAGACCAGCCTGGTCTACATAGCAAGTTCCAGGCCAGCTGGGGCTACAGGGAGACCCTGTCTCAAAAAGACCCTCCCCCCAAAAAAGTGCTTTCTTTTTAGGAATTTAATACATATAGTGCATGGATGCTGAGCCTCATAGGACGTCTGTGGGCTACATCAGACCAAGGAGCTCTGCACCCAAAATTCAATGGAAGAAAGAGAAAGCCAAGAAGAGTGCTCGGTGGGAACCTTCCCTCTTTACCTGCTGGGCAACTCTAGGCAACTGACTTCAGCTTTCTGAGTTTTAAGTCATTGCTTTTATATTTGGAGGGGAGCTTGTGCTCTACCACTGAGTCACATTCCCAGTCCCTCTCTGGGGGATTCTAGAAAGGAGCTCTATCACTGAGCCACACCCGTGGCCCTTACTAGGGGAGTCTAGCAAATGCTCTACCACTGAGCCACATCCCAGCCCTTCACTGGGGTAGTCTAGCAAACCCTGAGCCACACCCTGAACCCAGGCTAATTTGGAATGAACTGGTTCTTGGTTTTATTTTAATTTCAAATTTATTTGGGGATAGGTGTCGAAGCATTTGTATGGAGATCAGAGCACAACTTGCAGGACTTGGTTCTTTCCTTCCATATGTGGGGCCCTGGGATGAAATTCCCATTGTCAGGCGTGGCAGCAGTCATCGCATTTTTACCTGCTGAACCATCTGACCAGTCCCTGCTGTACCTTTTTTTCTTTTCAAAGGATTTACTTATTTCATGTGTATGTGCATGCCTGACTATGTATGTATGTGTACCATGTGAGTACAGTGACTGCAGAGGCCAGAAGAGGGCATAGGGTCATCTGGAACTGGAGTTCTAGGAAGTGAGCTGCCAGAGGTAGGTACTGGGAATCAAACCCAGTCCTCTGGAGAACAGTAGCACTCTTAACTGTTGAGCCATCTCTGTAGTACCACCTTGCTTTTTTTTTAAATTCTAATTTTATTTTTAAAATTTTATGTGTATGCATGTATTGCCTGCATGTAGGTAAGTGCACCCGTGTCATGCAGTGCCCAAGGAGGTCAGAAGAGGCTGTCAGATCCCTTGGGACTGGAGTTACGGACAGTTGTTAGCTGCCATGTGGGTGCTGGGATTTGAACCTGGGTATTCTGCAAGAACAACCAGTGTTCTTAACCTCTGAGCCATCTCTCCAGCCCCCTTGCTTTGTTTTTAAAACAACCTTTAGGACAAAGCTTGGTGGTATAGCATTTGGTAGGAGAGGCAGGCAGATTTTTGTGTGTGAGAACAACCTGGTATATATAGCAAAGTCAGGACTACATAGTAAGACCCTGTCTAAAAACAAACAAACAAACAAACAAACAGAACTCTTAGGGCCAGCAAGATGGCTCAGCAGGTAGTTGCACGTAATTCTGAGTTCAATCTCTAATTCCCACAAGGTGGCAGGACAGAACGCACTCCCAAGAGTTGTCTCTGACCTCCATACACTTGTGGCATGAGCATACCTGAGCACACACAAAATAATAATAGAAGGCTCCTCAGTGCCAATGAGGAGGCCAGCCACTTGCCAGGGGCCCTTTTATGCTGCTGTTCACACTGCATAGCAATGATATTCTGTCCTTGGCTCCACCTCAGTGGGTGTTTAATGCAAGCAGAATTTGGGGTGTGGGTGGTGCTCTACCTGTAGTTGTGGAACCAGTTGATTACGGTGCTGGTCTTCAGGTTCAGCTGTGTGGCAAGCTCCTCAATGGTTTTTGGTGATGGGTATGGCTTCTGCTGATACGCGCGTTTCAGTGCTTCCTTCTCCTCAGGAGCCAGCACCACTCGGGGTTTCTTCAGCTGGTGTTGTGGCTGGGGACTAGCGCCCTGACTGTAGTCGATGCCCACTGAGGGGGGTTCGCAGGGTTGGCTGTCACTGACCGAACTGTGTCGCCGTTTCATGTAGGCTGTGGGAAGACAGAGTAGGTGAGGTCAGGGACCCATGGGAAACCAATGCAAAGCCTGGCAGCAGAATAGGATGCTGTAACACCCTTAGCCTCGGTGTGTGGTGCATATGTGTGATCACAGTACCGAGGAGGCCAAGACTAGAGGGTCATGAGTTTGAGGCCAGTCTGGGATACACACTGAGACCCTGTCTAAAAAAAAACCCCAACAAAACCAAATAGGTCAGTGATGGAATGCATCTAGAATGCACAATGCCCCCAGTTTCATCCCCAGCACTGTAAAACAAAATGAAACAAAAAAAAAGTCCCTAAATAAAACCCTGTAGTGGAGCCACACTGTTCCCAGCACACACACTGAGACCTGACTCTGATGTCCCATGTGTTCCCAGCTGTCCCTATACAACCTGACAGTTCATTGACAGCTACAGAAGGATCCAGCTAGATGGATAGTAGGTGGCAGGGAGGTAAGCTCAGGGCACCTAGGAGGGGCATTTAAGAAGTTCAAGACAGGGCCTGGGAAAGGGCTGAGGGGCTTCCAGAAGAGAGGACATTTCAAGGTTATCTTGAAGGACAAGGTTAGATTAACTAGAAAATGCATGGGATGCTCTGGACAGCAGAAGGCTGTTAGAAGATGGAACTCAAACTAGGTTCAATGGTGAGTGCTTGTAACCCCACTTGGGAGGTGAAGGCAGGAAGTTCAAGAGTTCAAGGTCATCCTTGGCTACATAGGGAGTTTGATGCCAGCCTGGGCTACAAGAAATCCCAGAGAGAGAGGAGTGGAGGGAGGGATAGGGGGAGAGAGGGAGATGAAGACAGGGAATGGAAGAAAGAGGGAGGAAGGAAGGAAGGAAGGAAGGAAGGAAGGAAGGAAGGAAGGAAGGAAGGAAAGACAACTAATGGAAATCAATGTCACATCCAAGGGTTACCTCAAAATGGAACCCCAGAAAACCCCAGCATTTCATCAAAGGACATTCCCAGCAGCAAAGGATGGTGAGACATACCTTTACTCCCACCTCTACATAGTGAAACCCTGTCTCAAAACAAGCAAACAACTAACTAACCAAACAACCCCCTTACCACAGGACATTCCCAGGAAAGGCCCAGAGGGACATGAGGAAAGCCAGGGCACAGTCATATACAGGTGGGGGATGGAAACTTAGGGATGGCCAACGATATCCACCCACCTACCTATCACCACGGGAGGAATGTCAGGACAGACCCAGGCTGGACTTGGGACTTGGTGGTTTGGGGAGAACTGGAGCCCCGTGAACAGTGAGAAGCTGAGTGGGGATCAGGAAGGAAGGAAACGGGGTGGCCCCCAGAGTTGCTGTGTTGGGAGTCTGAACTGCAACAAAGGCAGCTACACTTGGGAGGCTAAGGCAGGAAGATTGCTAGCTTAAGATCAGTGTTAGCTACACAGACTGTATCTTGAAACACAGAGAAAGGAAAGAGGGAGGAAGGGAAAGAATGGAGAGAAAAGAAGAAACAAAAGAAAAAGAAAAACAAAACACAGGTGACTTCCAGAGGGGAGGTCTAGGGTGAGGAGTGGCTTTTTAATGAGTGATGGGTGTGGCTCTGTGGTAGGGAAGGAGCTCAGTATGTACAAGGCCTTGAGTTCAATCCCAAACCTTTCCACAGCAAGATAAAGACAAGAACAGATCATGTCTCTAAGCTGAGGAGAAAGAGACGATGGAGAAAGTGCTGGTGACACTGGGGAGTAACCCAGATGGCTGGAATAAATGACACAGGGTTCTGTGTCACTGACCTAGTACTCACCAAGTAATACAGGCTGGCTGGCCACTGAGCCCTAGGGATCCACCTGTCTCCACTTCCCCAGTGTTGGGATTACAAGCACATGCCTGGCTTTTTACAGTGTGTTCTGGGTACATAGTAAGTTCCAGGTGATCTGCGGCTATAGGACTCTTTCTCAAAAAAGCAAGAAAAAGGAAAAGAAAGGAAAAGAAAAAGTGTGTTCTGAAGATCTAACTCAGGTCCTCATGTGTGCACAGAAAGCATTTTACCTACTGAGCCATCTCCTCAACCCCCTCCCTTTTTTTCTTGCTGTATAGCTCAGGTTAGCTTGGAACTCACTATGTAACTCAGGTAGGCATGGAACTTAACATGTAGCTCAGGCTGGCCTAGAATTCATGGTTCTCCTGCCTCAGCTTATGGAGTGCTGGGATTATAGGTGTGTGTTTCACACCTGACATTATTTGGAAGGAATACAAATTAATAACTCTTACTTAATGAATTATTAGTCAACTATATCCATTCTTTCTAACTCTTACCCTCTGGAGAAGTTGGTATAGTCACTGTCAGTTTGCAAGGATAGGACTTTAGGCTGGGGAATTAACTGACTCTGCTGCTATTTTATCATTATATTGGGAAAACAATATAATGATATTGAGTTGACAAGGTAAATGGTGGGGGCTGTGGCTCAGTGGGCAGAGTTAACCTAGCATGCATGAAGCTCTTGGTCCATCTCTAGCACCACATAAACCTGGCACGGTAGTACATGCCTCTCATCCTAGCACTCCATATGCTGAGGTAGGACCATGAATTCTGAGGTCATCCTTGGTTACAAATTTGAGGCTAGCCTAGGCTACATGAAATTGTCTGACGGGGGAGGGGTGGGGAGGCAACCACTAGCTGATGCTCAGGAGGTAACACTGAGGGAGGACTACGGTGGGCAACCTGTTGTGTGACTGACAGGTTAAATGCCCAGTTACTCAGGAGGGCTGCTAAAGGCTTCCTTACTGAGTAGCGGGGAACCTGGGAAAGCCTGAGGTGTGAGCCTTGTGGAGATAGTTAATGCTTTTGCCACACAAGATGGCGCCAGAGTCCATGTGGAAGGAAGCTGGAGGCCTCGAAATCCCCTGAGCTAAGGTCCTTCACTATTGGCCAACCAGGAAAGGGTAGAATCAAGGCCTGCCTCTCTACTGACATCTGAAGGGACAGGGGACTGCACTGGAGGTGGCCTGCTGTTCCTTGATGCTGAGAGCAGCCACCTCAAACACAAGGTGACTGGCCCTGGCTTCTGACAGGAAGTGGGACACTTCAATGTTGCTGGGTGAGAGCTCAGCAGTGGGTACACCAGGTTCTTTTTGCTTGTTTTCTTGTTTCTGAGTCTCACTAAGCTGTTCAGTCTGGACTAGACCCCCTGTCCTTCAAGGATTTTATATAGCCTGGCTGACCTCAAACTCACTTTGTGGCCAAGGATAACCTTGAACTCCTGACCTTCCTGCTGAATGTTGAGATTACAGGTATGCTTCTGCATACCCAGTTTACGTGGTATTTGATATGGAACCCAGGACTTTGTACCTGCTAGGCAAGTACTCTACCAACTGACCTACATCCCTGGCCTATGGCCTTGAACGTTTTATCCTCCTGACTCAGCCTCCCAAGTGCTGGAATTACAGGCCTGTGCCCCATATCTGGCTTGTCTTAGGCTTGATACCATTCTTGGTGCTTTTGCTTGAAATTTACCAGAGTAAGTTGCAAAACTGGGAAATGATGTGCCACATGGCTCTGAAAACATGGGTGTTGCCTAGAGTTGCCCTTGGGGCTGTGGCCTGAGTCACAACTGAAGGTGGGCCACAGCCAGCTGGGAGTGGCCCTTGATGGGTAGAAAGCCACTGTCTAGGCACATTGCTGATGGACAGTAGTGACACCTGGTATAACAGTGTGGCAGGCCCTTGGCACATTGGTGCCAACAATTATATAATATCACCAGCTTCTCAGCTCCCAGGGCCAGAGATGGAACCCAGGGCTTCATGCATGCATAGTAGGTGAACACTCTACCAACTGAGCAGAGCCCCAGCTCCTTTTTTTTTTAAATTAAAAAAATTCATTTTAATTTTATGTGTATGAGTGTTTTATGGGCATGTATTTAAGTGCACTCATGTCATGCAGTGCCCATGGAGGCCAGAAGAGGGCGTCGGAGCCCCTGGAACTGGATAGTTGTTTGCTGCCACATGGGTCCTGGGACCCAAACTTGGGTCCTTTACAAGAGCAGCCAGTGCTCTTAACTACTGAGCCATTTCTCCAGCCCCTTCTTTTGGTTTTTATAAAGAGATAAAGTTTTAGCATACAGCCCAGGTTGATCATCTTGAACTTGCAATCTTTCCATCTCAGCCTTGTGAGTGCTTGGATTACAGGTATGTGCTACCCTGCCTGGCTCAAAATGCATTTTCTTTTTTTTTTTTTTTTTTTTTTTTTTTTTTTGATATTGGGGACTGAACCTAGGGCTTTATGCATGCCAGGCAAGTGCTCTACCAACTCAATATGTCTAAGTGATATCTCCAACCACAGGCTTTTCGTATGAGGTGCATGTGTAGTAGATGATGTAACACGCCCATGAGCTAAAAGACTGCCAGCAAATGATCCACTACTACAGGCTGTGATGTGCCCAGTGGTTACAAGATGATTATATGTCCCAAAGAGGGACAAGTCTTCCTTGTCCTCTTAAGCTACTCATTGGCTGATGTTCATCTAAACTCCTGTACCTGTCTTACAGAGCTCTGGTCAAGGGATCAGTGACCCCATCTACCCCCCATCTCTGCAGGAAAACATCTAGACAAGGCATGGCCGGCAGAGGGTGGGCAAGTACCTTTCTTCTCCATCCGCTTCATGTCCATCAGTTTCTCCACATTGTTGGGGTCATTCAGCCATAGCTGCATTCGGACAAAGGGCTCCCGTCCCTTCAGACTGAGTTTATGCCAGGGCTTTGGGCGGGCAAGGAGGTCAGAGACAGAGCCTTGGGTGAGCCCTAGGATGGTCTCCCCAAACAAGCGCTGACCTGGAAAGTAGACATGAGAGATGGTCACTGACAGTCAGGGGGCTGTGAGGACAAGCTGGTGTCCATATATGACTCAATGTCACATAGTCTGGATTGTAAGGGCCTGGTTTATACCAACATTTTGTAGAAATACTTTTCATTAGTTTTGCGTAGGGCTGGGGATGGAACTTAGGGCTTTGTGCATGCAAATGAGTACTCTATCCCAAGCCACATCCCTAGACACTCACGGGGGTGGCGGGGTGGTGGTGGTGGGGATGATTCTAGACAGGTGCTCCAGGTGCTCTACCACTGAGTGACATCTTCAGTCCTGAAACATTTCTTCCACCTGCCTTATAGCAGCCCCACTGTGATAAATAACTATGGCTCTCAGAAAAGCCTCTAGGTTATCAGGTATGGTAATTCAGCACTTAGGAGGCTAAGGCAAGGGGATCAGCAGTTCCAGGCCAGCTCAGGCTTCACAGTGAATTCTAGGTCAGCCTAAACCACATTTTAACAGCCAATAGCCTGTTGTTGCAGAAACCAAAAAAAAAAAAAAGCTTCCAGGCACCAGGTGAACTAAGGGTGGATACCTGCAGCATCTGTCAGAGTCATTACATCCCTACTCAACAACCTCTAACCAGAGGCCACATATGGGCCTTTTCATGATTAGCAAGGTCAAGGGTCTTGCTGAGAGAAAGGAACATTTGACCCCAAATCTCAGCAGGAGGGCAGAAGGGGCTGGTAATTTGGGGTTTGAAAGGCTCACTGGCTATACTGGTTTCTGCAGTCTAAACTGCCTTTGCTGAATGCGGCTCAGAGAGGATCAAACTCTCCCTGGAGCCCTTTCTTCTCCCATGCAGGGTGAGCAGCCTGCCTTGGGCTGATCACAGGGCAGGTAGCTGTGGAGGGTGCAGTAGTTGCCAAGCCTGCACTGTGTCATAAGCTTAAAAGAAGGGCTTGAAGGCCGGGGAAATGGCTCATTGATAAAGCTCTTGCTGTGTAAGCATGAATTAGAGCCCCAGCACCCATGTAAAAAAGGTACAGTGATATGTGCCTGTAATCCCAGTGCTGGGGCGGTGGAAACAGGAGGACCCCTGGAAATGACTGGCCAGCCAGTCTAGTCTTACAGGCAAGCTCTATGTTCAGTGAGAGATGCTGTCCCAAAAAATAAGGTAGAGTGAGAATGAAGAAGAAAAGCCATGTGACCTCTAGCCTAGGGTTTGGTTCCTTTGAAAGCCATTCCTCAATGTGGGGAGAGGGCTACCACTCTTTTTTTTTTTTGAGACTGTAGCCCCAGCTGGCCTGGAACTCACTATGTAGATGAGGCTGGCCTTGAACTCGCAGAGATCCACCTGCCTCTGCTTCCTGAGTGCTGGGACTAAAGGTGTGTGCCACCACGCCCAGCTTGAGGGCTACCACTCTTAAAGCACACATCAGAATCTGTTATAACCCATATGGCTGGATGGGAAAAGCCTGGGTGAACAGAAGCTATTGGGTAGAAGTGGAGATTAGGATCACAGAGGCCAGTTTGTTCTCACAAAGCATCTGGGATATGGGATGCTGAGCAGAATGTGCCAATTCCACTCTGTAGCTAGAGACCATGGGGTTTGGATTATTCTATCTGTGGTCATGTCCTCCAGCTGTGAATTAGAAAGACTCCAAGTAAGACCCAGAGAAGATGACATGGGACTGGCCTATAAATGTGGTTGATGATGTAGTTAAATTTAGGTGGTTCTTTCTTTTTTTTTTCTTTTCTTTTTCTTTTCATTTTAACTTAAAAAGAAATGTACTAGGCTGAAGATGTAGCTCAGTGGTAGATCTCCTGTCTGAATTCCCCAGTGAGGGGCTGTGGTGTGGCTTAGTGATAAAGCCCTTGCCTAAAATCACCCAGTGGGGCTGGGGGTGTGGCTTAATGATAGAGTGCTTCAACATGCCAAGATCCAGGGTCAAGTTGAGGGTGCATTTAATCCTGACTAGGAGTCATCTTTACTGCCTGATGCAGATCAAAGCTAGCTCACAACTCCACCCAGGGTCCCATGGGAAGGCAGTTAGCTACTTTCCCTGCAGACTTAATACCTGTTGGAGCAACCAAGGGGATTGCTTCTGGTTGGTCAGCCCAGGTGAGCTGGGTTACAGGGCTTTCCTGGAACTTCTTCAGTTCACTAACTGCCCCTTTGCAGCACTGGAAAGTTCCACAGGCCAGTGGGGTGCTGCTCTGGCTGCATGTAACCCTTGCCAACAAAGTCTTCAGTGAGGATGGAGACTGGTTAGTGATGCCAAGGAGGAGGCTCCACTGTTTGTTTGCCATCTCGAAACTGTGATCTCAAAACTTGGCGGTTTGAAAGGAGGGCATCCTTCAGCTGATTCTCAATGTTTCCATGCTTTCTATCTGGGGGTGGGTAGAAGGAGCGATTGGGCCTGCTTCTTTGGACTCATGACAAGTCTGTGAAGAAGGGGATGACTCAAGTGTAGGAATCCTTTCACATTTCAATAACTGATGAACATATGGGCTTTGGGCCCTGTTCTCAAATCAACAGCTACATTTTCATTTTTATGAACGAACGATTACAATTGTTCTTAGAGGGTGCAACTTCTTCCTGTGTTCTGTTTTGGACAATGCATTATACAAATAAGACACAGGGGACTCAGTTGGGCCTGACCCCAGACTGTAAGTCGCTGGCACATGTCACTGTTTAACTCGGCTGCCACTGTATGTGTGCATATGTGTGTACATGTGTGCATGTGTCAGCCAGGACAATGTTGGCTGTCATTCCTCAGGCACTGTCCACCTTATTTTTTTGGGGGTGGGGTGGGGAGGGCTTTTTGAGACAGGGTCTCCCTAGCTCAAAACTCCAGCTGGCCTGGAATTCACTATATAGAACCAGACTGGCCTCAATCTCAGATCTGCCTGCCTCTGTTTCCTGAGTGGAGGGTTAATGGTGTATACTACTACACCCTAAATTTTTTGAAATTTTAAGAAACATTTATTGTGTGTGTGTCTGTGTGTGCACCATAGCTCAAGTGGGGAGGTCAAAGGATAACTCATGAAGTTCTCTCCTTCCACCATCTTGGTTCTGGGAATTGAACTCAGGTCATCAAGCTTGGTAGCAGGCACCTTTATTACTGTTAAACCATCGTTCACAGCCTCACCTTCTTTTTTGAGTAAGTTCTTTCACTGGCCTGGAACTTACCAGGTAGGTTAGGCTGGCTGGCCAGTGAGCCCCATGGATCCACTTGTCTCTGCCTCCCCAATGCTGGGATTACAAGCACAGGCCACCTTGCTTGGCATTTTTTTTACATGGGTTCTGCAGTATTAACTCAGGTCATCATGTTTGCATGGCAGGCCCTTTACTGACTAAACTCTCTCCTCAGCCCTCAGGAGCATCCATCTTACACTCCTTTTATAGACACTTTACCTGGGACACATGACCAGCAGAATGGCTGCAGCCATTTCTGGCATGCCTGCCCAGGAGGGCCAGACTCATCAATATAACCCCAAGGGAGCATGATGGTATAAAATGGTGAGATACCCTGATATTCCTAGGGCCACAGCTCCTGTCCAGCAGTGATAGAGCCTCAGACAGCTACCTCAGGTAGAACCCAGGTGGCTACCACATGTATCAGACAAATGGCTTGAGGCTGACACCATGAGAGGGGAACCACTCAGTTCCTGGTCCTGTGGAGGGCCTGGGAAGAACAGAAGGGTTGGCAAGGGAGGAGGAGCAATAGCAGCAATATTAGATGGCTATGGGCTGCAAGGCAGCGAGCCTGGAGTCACCAGTCCATGACTGGCATGATCAAACCAGTATCACTGAGGAGCTGCTCAGAGGGGACACATGGCTTGCCCCATAGCAGGCATAGTGAAGGGAAACTGGAGCGACTTACTTCTTGACTTCTGTGAAGCCACCTCATCCTACCTGGCTTTGCTATCCACCATGGACTGGGGGTCTGCTGGGCATGTTCTAATGCCAGAGGCTTGAGTAGGTGCTGGAAGGGGGCTGGCATTGACCTCTATGGCTCTAGCACTCCTGTGAACAAGCTAGTATTCACACTATAAGACATTTTATGTTCATTTTTTTAGTGTGTGTGTGTGCTGGGGTTAGAACACAGGGTCTCGTGCATTGTAAGCAGATGCTGTACTACTGAGCTACACCCCCAGTTCCTTACTTGGGGATTCTAGGCAGGTGCTCTGCCACTGAGCCACACCTCCAGCCCCTCATTGGGGGATTCTATTTTTTGTTTGTTTTTATTTTTCATCTTTTTGAGACAGGGTCTCCCTGCTGCCCCAGTTGCCCTGGATCTCACAGAGATCCACCTGCCTCTGTTGGGATTAAAGCCATGTGCTACTATGCCTGGCCTCACTGGGGGACTCTAGACAGGTGTGATCTACCACTGATCCACATCTCCAGCCCCTCACTGGGGGATTCTAGGTAGGTGCTCTACCTCTGAGCCATACCCTTGCACCAGGTTCTTTTTTAAATATTTTATTTATTATTTTTATTTTATGTGTATGAGTGTATTGCCTGCATGTACACCTGTGTCGTGCAATGCCTTGGAGGTCAGAAGAAGGCTTCAGATTCCCCTGGAACTAGAGTTAAGGACAGCTCGTAGCTGCCATGTGGGTGCTGGGAATCGAACACGGGTCCTCTGCAAGAGCAGTCAGTGCTCTTAACTGCTGAGCCATCTCTCCAGCCCCTGCACCAGGTTCTTTAAGTAGCCTGTTTAGGCATGTTTACCTGCGGCCCAAGATAGTAATCAGTGTGGTCTGGTCTGACACAAAAAATCATGAATTTACTTAAAACATTCTGAGATTTTTTTCCCTCCCAATTTCTTTGGTGAGCTTTGTATATGACAATATCAATGTGGCAATGTCAAAAGGTTGGGCATGTGGAATGTTTGGAGCATTTGGCGGGCTCAGTCTGGAGCCCCTTTCCTCACTGTGTCAAGACCCTAAACAGGAAACGACCTGCTGACTGGTGACTGGCAATGGAGACTTACCGAGGTTATTGTCCGTCAGTACTTCCTTGACCCTCTTGGTTATGCCGTAGGTATCCAGCTCAGGAGACATGGCTACTAATTCTTGGATGCTGAGGGCAGAATGTCCAGAGAGAGGCAGCGGTGTTGTGGGTTGGGAGTCTGAGGTGGGTGGGTCGCTGGGTTCTGGAGGTTTGCCTTCTTTGCTGGTCTCAATGGCAGGACAGGGCTGCTGGACCAGCTCAGTGAGACTCTTCACAGATTCACTGGAACTCATTGGGGACTCGGGGGCGGGGCTGCAGCTGGCGGAGGTCTTTGGAGTGCTTTCTGGAATTAAACACAGCAAGAGTGGCCGCTGAAAATAGTCATCTTTCACCATGTACATTGACTTTGCTTCCTTAGGAAACATTAAATTTCCTATTCCAGAAGGGCACCATGTAGTAGTCTGTAGATCTTTCTGTGTTATTTCATAGTTTTTATCATTAAGCATAACCTCTAATTTTCTGCATTAAAAGAACAAAAATAACACCAACAGAGAGAAAAATCAACTAAAGGTTTAAATAAAAGGTTTCTGAAGGCTTAATATCAGGGCATTTTGCTAAAAGATATGTCATTATGACCGTCATGATTTGTTCTAATTAAACCCTATGAATCTAGTAACTTAGAAAGACTGGGGGTTGATTTTAACATGTGCGATTCTTTCCTCTGTATTTTCCAGTATAGGAAGTCTGAACAGGGACCAGGGGAGATGGCCCAGTCAGTAAAGTGCTTGCCTTGTAACATGGGGAGCCCACATAAGACAAGAATCTAGGCATGGTGGTGTACGCTTATAACTCCAGTGCTAGGGAGGTGGAGACAGGCAGATCCTTGGGGCTTACTGGCCAGCCAGCTTAGCCTACTTGGCTGATCTTTAGGCCAGTGGGAAACTGTCTCAAAATACAAGGGAGGCCATGTGTGATAGTACACGCTTTTAATCCCAGTACTTGGAAGGCAGAAGCAGGTAAATCCCTGTGAGTTTGAGGCCAGCCTAGTCTACATATTGAGTTCCCAACCAGCTGGGACTATAGGGAAACCCTGTCTCAAAAACAAAAAAGTCTGTATTCAATATAAAGCTCTATTTACAGCTTTTTTCCCCCTAGTGGCTAATGTCACTGACGATACTGGTGACAGACTCCAAAGGCAGGACCTTTTGTGTCTTTTCTTGTTTATTGCTCCCTCAACCCACAGCAGGTCCCTTAGTCATATTACCAGCACATTAGCAGGTAGTTTCAAATACCTGGGCTGGGTGTGGGGCAGTAGTAGAATTCTTATCTTGCTTGTTCAGTGCCCTAAATTTCATCTTGGGCTATATAAAAAAAAACGGAACCAACAAATAGCTGAGCAAAGAAAACTCTATTATCTGACTAAAAAGGAACAACTATGAATTTATGACAGACGTATATGAATGCTTATTATAGATTTAGTTGTGTGTACAATATATGAGCATATGTGTGTGCAGGGTGTACACACTCACGCAAAGGCCAGAGGAGGGCATCAGGTGTCCTCTCCACCTTATTCCCTTGAGGCAGGGTCTCTCACTGAACCTGGAGCTAGACAGGTGGCCAGCAAGTCCCAGCGATCCTCCTGTCTGTCTCCCACAGCACTTACAGGCAGGCATGTGGTCATGCCTGGCTTTTTATGTGGGTGCTAGGGATTCAAATTCAGGTTCTCATACTTGTGTGGCAACTGCTCTTACAACTGAGCCTTCTCCTCAGGTCCCTTATGAATGTTTTGCTAGATATTTGGGCTAACAATCTCTTGTATACCCGGGAATGGGAAATATATTCTAAATGCAAATATTTTATATGATTTCCTAGAAAGAATGAAGCCTGAAATAAACCACAATTCAAGCCAGTAAACCTGTTTAATGTCCTGAATTGGTACAAAGTCCCACGATCACATAAAGCTGTGTGCTCAGCCTAGAAAAATCAGGTTAAGAATACAACTGAACTGCTTTGTGAGAGATGTAAAAGAGACAGACGTGAGGGACAGAAATGGCCCATATCCATCTTTAAGGCAATATGAATCCTGTAAATCAGATTTCTTCTCTCTGCTCACCCCTGGGTCACCAGACAACAGGGCCTAAAACCCAGCAAATGTTGTTTGTCTGTCGGAAACAGCAAAGGAATTATACTGTAAATTTGCCCTGATTCACCCATGTGAGGGGGGCCAGTTTGGCAGGTCATCCATCTTGCTCAGTGACTACTGTCAGGGATGGCATGTGTCCCAAACATGATAAACAGATTTCTCCCAGGTCTGTGTCCTTTAACTCACAGCAAGGTCAAAATCATGGCCACCATGATAATAAACCATAGGGGACTAGCTGCTGTCTAGGAGACAGATCTTACCAAATACCTTGAGCAGCAGATGTTTCTGGTTGTATGTGTCCCAGGTGTGTACTTGCATGTATGTTGGGCAGAGCCCTGAGAAAGCTAATGGGTATGTGTACCATGCATGACTGGGGTCCCCTTGGGCTCCCTGCTACAAACAAAGGTTAAACCCCTGCAACCAAATCTGCTGCACCTTGAACTACCTGGGGTGGCAGAAGTGACACATTGTTACTGGGTCTGGCTAGGGTTCAACTACACTTTAGGAGGGGGTTTATTCAGAGAGACACAACACCTCTGGGGTCTCAGGGCACAGAAAACAGAATATCTGGGTTTTTACTCATTGAGACAGGAATCTCATGTAGCCCAGGCTGACCTTGAAGTCACTATGTACCTGGCATTCCAGCTGTGCCCCACTACACCTTTTATGCAGTGCTGGAGATTGAACCCAGGGCTTCCTTGGCTACATAGTGTTGCTGTGTCTCCATGAGAGCTGGGAGCAGGAGGCTGTAAGGTGGGGGGATGGAGGACAGTAAGGGCTGGGATGGAGATGCAGGTTCAAGAGCAATTTAGGAGACCTCAGAGGAGCCAAAGAGATATAGTAGGAGGGTCTGGATGAGGCCTGGTGTCCCTTGCATGACGGGATATGTGATGAGCATTCAGAGGGAACATGGTGTTGTAGGGGTGCTGTGGAACAAAGAGGGAGCCATGAAAAAAACCCTTCTTGAGCTAGGTGTGGTGGTGTGCACCTGTAATCCCAGCACTAGGGAAGCTGAGACAGGAAGAGCTAGAGTTTCAGGCTAGCAGGGGCTACATAGTGAGACACTGTTTCAAATAACCAGCCAACCAACCAACCAACCAAATAAACAAACAAAAAGGTCAGGGCTGGGAGGTAGCTGTCAGAACAGTGCTTGCCATACAACCAGGAGGACCTGAGTTGGATACTTAAGAATTCATGTGTAGGGCCAGTGAGATGGCTCAGTGGGTGAAAGCACTTGCCATCATGCCAGATGATCTGTTTTGTTTGATCCCTGGGACCCACATGATAAAGAACTGACTTCCTTCAGGTTGTCCCTGACCTCCACACATGCACTATGGTACGCATACACCCATAGTCATCACATATACACACACAAATGTAAAAAAATTTTTAGAAAGAGAGAACTGGTATTAAAAAAAAAAGGAAGCCCTACTCTGTCATCAGTCATCCTATCAGCCACCTCAGAAGGGACACTCACTGGGCTTACTGCACAGGTGCTGCGTTGACATGGGGAGGAATTGGCACACTCAATCCTTACACCCACCTTCTAACCAACAGTAGAGGTTGCTGGGCACACTCAGATGTCCCCCATCTTATAAAGCCACCTGCACAGTTGCTGGTACTCACACCCTGCACTGAGTGTCTGCCTTCTGAGACAGTGACTACTACACATTCATGTCAACATCAGGGATTTTAGACACAGAAGCTCAGTCACTGGAAGTCAGTCAGTCATGACAGCGATCAAGGAAGGAACAGAAGTGGAAAACCTCTATATCTCTACCTATGATGCTGTCTGCCACTAAGCTGGCAGCCTGCCTGCTCTACCCAGCCATCTATTATCCATCTACTCATCCATCCACCCATTCATCCACTCACCCCTATCTCCACCCTCCATTTGTCTATCATCCACCCATTCATCCACCCACTTACCCACCCACTTATCCATCATCCATTTACTCATCATCCATCCATTCATTCACCCATCTATTCATCCATTTGTACATCTGCCCACTATCTATCCACCCACATTTTTTTTTAGACAAGATCTCACTATGTTGCCCTACCTGGCCTAGAACTCACTATGTAGACTAGACTGGTCTCAAATTCATGGGTAATCCTCTCAACTCTGTGTTCAGAGTGCTGAGACTTAAAGGCCTATGCCACACCTGGAGCTATCCATCCACATTGTCATTTAAAAAAATTTTTCACATTTATTTGTTTGTATGTATCTGTATGTGCATGTGTGCTTATGTGTGTTGGTACACACATGCCATAGTGCATGTGTGGAATTCAGAGGACAACTTTGTGGAGTTGGTTCTTTCCTTCCACTATGTGGTTCTGTGATCAAACTATGGTCATCAGGCTTGGTGGTAGGCATCCTTACCAGCTGAGCCATCATACTGGTCCCTCCATCCATATTTTTAAAGCACCTACTTTGTGTTGTGTACTATGCTAGTCACTGGGGACATGAGAAATTAGATACCCCCCCCCAACAACAAAAAAACTATCATTGCTTTCAAGAGTCTCTGCAGCTCCAGACCTGTGGCAGTTAACAAGGAGAATTTACATATTTTAAAAGCCCAGTAGTGCTGGGGGTGTGGCTCAGTGTTGAGCACTTTCCTAGCATGCCCCAGGTCCTGGGTTTGCTCTCTGACTTTGGGGTTTTGAGAGTGATGGAGGGCAAGGTGTGGCATTTGGAAGTGATATGTGAGGATTCACTTTTCCCTGTGGCGGACCTTGGAACTTGCAGAAGAGGAGCTTGGCTTGGAAGCACAGAGGGCAGGGACATGACACAAGGCCTGCGGAGACACATAAGGCGTTGAGGAGCCATAAAAGGATTATGAAAAATATTATATTCCCCAAACAGCAGGCCAAACAACAGCTGCCTGAAGTTTTCAATAGACACCAACAGAAAACGCACACCCGCTCCAATTCTCCAAGACAAATCGCTCTGCAGTTTATCCGATCTGCTGTTGCAATTTCCATGCCCAGCCCTCCTCTATCGTGGTAATAACCCAAATTCCATTTAGTGTTCATTTGAGCAGTCAGGATGAAGTCATTTTTGATTATCTCCCCACTGTGTAAAAAACAGCTTGAAGGTAGGAAGTCAGAAAGCATTTCCTCCAAAAAGTAATTATTGCAAGTGACATTTTTACTGCTGGCGTGCCATACGGCGAACCACGCGTTCAGAAGGACAAGTT